CCGTCACACTTCTGCTCACTTCTCTGTTTGGTACCGTCAGTTTCACACTGCAGTGTTTTTAAAAATAAAACAGGACAAAGCCGCCGCCGCCACCACCCATTACTGCCGTTATCAACTCCCATTCTTTTTCTCTTGGCTATGGGTTGGACTTTCTCCACCTTTTCTGCTGGTTATTGTCCCAGCAAAACAAATTACTAAAGCTGCAAAAATTGTGAATATATATTAAACTGATTAGGACTAATTAAGTCACAGAGTTAATGGTGTTTGGCTCTTTTGGGGGTACGAGTGACTAGATTGTCCTAATTCATTTATATATGTATTTATTTTCAAGCTCTGTTTGTGTGTGAGAGGGCCATAAATTCAGTGTTGCACTTTGCTGGAGATTCTTGCTATAGTTCCTCACTCTGCTACTGCACATAGGTATTTTTCATAAGTATTTTTGACAATTCAGCAAATTTTTATATTGGGAAGTTTCATCCACATAGTACATTCGAAAGAATATATCTCAACAGTGTCATCTAGTGGCAAAAAATGTAATGTTTTCTTATGTATACTGCTTAAAGGAAAATACTACATACGTACAGTATGTTGACCAACAAGTGAGATTGATTGACTGTTCTTAATCATGTTGTTTTTCCAAAGACTTCCAAAATATGTAGTTCCATGACTAAAATCTTAAGCATACTAAATAAAAATTATATTTAATTCAGTGGGTCATGATCTTGACTAATTCTTCACTGTAATTTGGAAGCTATATTCCTAGCACACTATTTTGCTTACTTGACAATGGCAGAAACATGGGGATAGGTTTAACATAAAATGGGTGAAAAGGATACCATCACCAGAGGTTCAGCAGGGTTGCAATAACTCAGCTTCTAGTCCTACATTGTCGGTAGCAACCATGTTTTGAACAGTATATGCATTTAAATTCAGGATACAAGAGCTGCAATTGTTTTTGTTAATTTAAGAATATTTAACAGACCCCTCACAGCACACATGTTCTCCTATAAATAACTGAAATACATTAACTTTTTTAAAATTCTGAACTGGAAAATGGACTTAAGATTGAATACAAATTTTTATGTGCTACTTTTGTGGTCTTGAATTCCCATATATGCTTTACTTTTTAACCTTAAGTATAGGTAGATTTCCCTTTTGGCACTCTTTCCAGACCTAAAAAATGGGAATGAATTAGAAGTAAAAACATAGAAGTGAACATTCATATCCGGGTGTTTTTAACAAGTTCACAGAGATGTATACATTTTGAAGAGCAATTTCTTTATCCTTTTAGAAAACAAAAGAGGCAAGTCATGGTCTTTAGCTTCACCGGCAATGTCACGTTGCTCATCCCACTATCACTGTGTGATGACATAACTTCTGAAGCAGGGAGTTTCTTGTCCTCTTGGGGACTCCTTGTGCAATTTAGAGCCTTGATCTTAATAAACATTAAGGATCTTTAATCATCCTTCCTTTCCTCCTTCTCTGTTCTTTATCCTTCACATTAATAACTGAAGGCACTAATAATCATCAGCATTGAAGAAACAAATCATATAGTTGAACCATTTCACATTTTCACCTTTGAGGGAGAAGAACACAGGTGAAAATACATATGTGTAACAGGCCTAGAAAAGTCTCTAGTTTGCCAGTACATTTTTTGTTTGAGCAATGTGTTGCATACTGTATTCTTCTATTTATAAAACAAGTCTAATAATCCTATTACTTTTTTACATGACTTAGATATTCTTACTGACAATTCATAGTAAATATAAATCATTATTGTGGGTCTCTATTTTGTCTCCTGCTATTGCAGGAGAATAGCATTATTGTCATTTATAATTTTAAGCTAGCCCTTTACTCATCAGTGGTTCATGGTACAAGTTGGGGGACTCATTCCATTACTGCTCAGATCATGGACTGCTGATACATTTAATACAGGTGAAAAACCAGCCATGCTGCAATGATATAGGTATATTTAGCTTTTCAAAAATATTTAGATCTTGTGGCTCAGTGGTTAAGCCGCTGTACTGCAGCCAAAACTGTGCTCACGACCTGGGGTTCAATCCCAGGTAGCCGGCTCAAGGTTGACTCAGCCTTCTATCCTTCCGAGGTTGGTAAAATGAGTACCCAGTTTGCTGGGGGGGGGGCAATGTGTAGTCTGCATAATTACCTTGTAAACAGCTCAGAGAGTGTTTGAAGCACTATAGGGCAGTATATAAGCAGCACGCTTTGCTATATAAGCAACACGCTTTGCTATTTCTGGCCATATCAAACAGCTAATTCTGACTTCAAGAACAGCCCATTTACTATTTTTTTCCTCAGCTTTTGAAGGTTTTAGTAGTAGCTGAGTGTTGAAAGCTTGCAAGTGTGACTGTTCACATCAATTTTTAACTTTACAAATGCAAACTATGTTCTCCATGAGTCATATCCATAGTGGAAAATCACCAGATTTCTCAAGTCTTTCTGCTGGAATAGGATCAAAATTTCAGTTTATTATTAAATGAGTCAGACGTTATGCAACATAAGGAATATAAAATGTCAAATCTGATACACATTCATTCAGAGGGAAGTTCTACTATATTCAGTGGGGCTTACTCCTAAGTATGCATGCATAGGATTGCAAAGCCTTAAATACTTTTCTCTCTCTCTGAAAAATTAAGAAATCGATTTAGTTTCCAGAAGGGTAGCCAACCATGTTAATCTGTTGCACTGAAACAATGTAGTTTTGTGACAATTTGTTGCAGAGTTTTGAATTTCTGATAAAAATTTCCCTTTGCTATGCAGTAGAGTAGACAGTAGAGTATCAAGATCCACATAGAATAGCTACAAGTTCCCCAGAGTCCACCTCTTTCTTATTAACTGGCACTTAGAGTCTCAGTAATTCATTCTGAGACATTTGCAGGAGAAAGAATAAAAACATTTCTTTACTTAGTTGCTTGCCTTACAGTTACTTGAAAGTACAGTATAGCCTTGCATATGCTGCTCTCTTCACTACACACATACTTAGCAACCAACAACAGATCAACAGCAAAAAAGCATTGCCTCCAACAGATGAAACAGAGGGAAAGAAACACTCAACAGAGAATTCAAAGGATAAAAGGAATGACTAGTTAGTGCTGGACAGATATACAATCACCTCAGCCCAGAAAAATCCCTCCCAGTCACATAAGCTACAGATAGCATGCAAGGCTGCCAATAAAACTCCAACATTATAATTAACAAGTTTAACTTTCCATCTCTATCTACTCCAGATGACTTCTCCAGATGGATAGAGTATGAATTCAATAGGCAGATTTTATACACACATGTTGGGAGGAAGATATGAAATTTAAAAGAAATGGCAATCAACTACAAAAAATAAAAATAAAAAATAAAATCCAAGGAGCCAAAGAAATATATTTAAAGGTCCAAGATGAAAGGGTGGCACATTGTGGGGTGGGATTTTTTTGGGGGGTGGGTGGGTTGGAATTTGGTTGATTCTCTATGTTAGCAGAGTTCAAAGTACAAAAATAAATGAGCTACAGCACAGGGGAATGTTGACAGAGTACAGCTAAAACCCAGTTTCCAATCCAGAACCCTTTTAAAAAAATCACATTACAACTGGCCTAAAGTAGAAAGAATAATAATAAAACTTTACTCACAGTTAATTCTCCAGTTATAATTAGAAAATTAAGGAAGAATAAAATAAAGGAATTCTAGAATAAACCATTGTGGGAGGCTCAGTTTGCCATTGCATCCACATAGTGAAAGGTCAAGAGCTGAAAGAAATTATGTCTGCTTTCAGTGATGGTCAGAGAAGGAAGAGGGGGACACACCACAGAAGCAGATACAGGCAAGAAAAGGGGAGTGAATTGCCTCAAGTCTAGTCTTTGCTAATAAGTTAGTGAGAAAGGTAAAAAGTCACTTTAGCCCAAGAAAGTCCCTCAGAATCCTAAAACACCTCTTCCACTAAAAATTAGTGTAAGCATGCAGGGTTATTTTTCTCCAACAATACAAGTATGTTGAAAGTTGCTTAAATGAATAATAGGCTCTTAGCCATGGAATAGAAGTCAGAACAGAGATGGTCTGGAATAGTTTCTTTAAAATAAAGATATCACAAAAGTTGAGTTTTGTGAATGTGCAATATGCATTGTGCATTAACACAGTCTTAAGAATTTTTAAATGCATTTAGAAAGTTAATTTTTCCTAGGTGCTGATTTCTTGAACTGGGAGGATGACGAAGCACCAAATCAAATTCATAAAGGCTAGGACTCTGCACCAGGATTTGGACAAATCCCAAACTCCTTGTCTTGGGACTGAATCACCTCTATAAACTAGAAAGGCTGAGCTGAGGGAGTGAAGATGGGCTGCAATGCTCTGAAGCCACCCTGTTTATGATCAGGCTTCATGTTTTCTTGAGACCTGAGCCTGGTGAGGACTTATTTCCGAGTAAAATACTGTACACGAAAGGTTGCCCTGGGCAGCACACTCTCTCCTGTAGATGTTCCAGAGCAAGTCCCACGAAATTAAAACGGCGTGAGAACCAGTCTAAGGGAGCAGGACTCTGAGAGCTGGGTTCAAATCCCCTCTCAGGCATAGAAACTCACTGGCAAACCCCCTCCTTGAACGTGTCGAAAACCCTATCGGCGTCGCCTGAAGTCACAAACTACCAAGGCACACAACGTCTGGATAAACAAGCAGGCCTAAGCTGATCCAGCCTGTCAGGAGAATACGTTCCGCCGCATCCAGGGAGCCTCCTTCGAAGGAAGCCCACACCGGGAACCTACAACCCAACCGGTGGCGGCAGCGCTGACGACGACGACAGCCGTGCCACCTCCCTCGGCCCTCCTCTCTCTTAAGGCCCTCTTGCGTGTCAGTCCCGTCCCCCCCTTTAACTCTTGGCAGTCGCCGGCGCCTCGCCTGGCTCTTGCCAGCCAATAGGCGCTCAGGATACTCAGCCTTTCGCCCAATCCCCTAGCCCCTTACTTCCGCTTCCCTGCCGCCTGTGTTTCGCCGTCACCGCCCCCCCCACTCCCAGTTCCTTCTGTAGGGTTGTAGCCGTGGCGGCTTTCCTGGCCGGGTCAGCTCCCGTTCCCTCGTCCGCCATCAGCCGCCCTCCTGGCTCGTTTCGGGGTCCTTGGGAGTCACTGACGATGAGCTGGCTTTTTCTCCAGCGCGCGCCTTTCTGCGGCCGTCCGAGCCCATTCATCTAGCGACTGGTGAGGGTGGAGATGCTTAAGGGTCGTGGTGGTGGTGGTGGTGGGGAGAGTAGGTTCCTCTTTGCCTGGGGAGATGGAGAGGGGTTTTTTTGGGGGGGGGAGGAAAAAGGATAAGGACTACGCCCGACATATTATTTCCACTTCCTGCAACCCCGGGCTTTAAACCGCCAAGTAGCAGCCCGGAGTTCAACAGGTGCGGGTCTTGCCCTTCTGAGCGGACCTTGCAAGGTGGAGCTCTACGGGATGAACTTGGGGAGTAAAGTTTGCAAAAGCTCTGCTGCTGGGAGCCGTGGGGGGCAGGACGGCTGAAAGCGGCAGCCCTTCGGAAGACACCCAGATTTTGCCCTAGGAAACCTGGCAAGAAGGCCGTAAGATTGAAAGGGTTTAAAGAAATGAAGCGCAAGAATAATCGCCCTTTCTCCCCAAGGAACTTGCATGCACGAAAAGGGAGTGAGGAGCACTTATGCAAACTACATTTGCAAAATGTTCGTGTCATAAACGTGGCCGGACTTACTTTCTAGGCCGTCTTTTTGGCTTAGTGCCTTAAGGTGTTGCTCATAGGGTTTGCAGTTTGAGTTTTTCTATCGCCCAGGACCTGCCAGAATTAATTTTGCATTGTTTAGAATTGCAACATAGTGAGCCTCCCTTCCCCCTTTTTAACCTGATGGTGTACATACCTTGAAATGACAATTTTGGTCACATATTGAACCTTGCATGCCTTTGCAGTTTAGGTCATGTGCCCTTGACTCTCCTGGTATTGATTGTCAGATAACAGAATATACAATCGCAGATGGGTGGTTTTGTTTGTTTGTTTTTTATTTAGCAGACAAAGAAAAATGCTGACTCTATTCAGGGAACTATGGTATGAGGAAACTCTTGGTTACATAATTGTCTGTCATCAAGTCAATTCTGACTTATGACAACCCTTGTCAGGGTTTCCTAGGTATAAAGTACTCAGAAGTGGTTTATTGGATCCTTCTTCTGGTTGATTATGAAGCATAAGAAAAGGTCAGATCATCTGTGGTCATCCAGATGTTTTCTTTTATCATTTCTGTGCTGTCTGGGAGGCCAGAGTTGTCAACCTCTGCTCCATATCTTGCTATGTAAGTCTGAGATAATTAGAACAACCTGTTTAGTGAGTATATTATCACATATGGAGGGGTATTTAATATCTGCAGAAGTTAAACAGAGAGGAATGCTTTGCTAGGCATTGATATACGCCCTTTTTAAAATTAATCAACTCTGCATTTCGTAATAGAGCATGTGGTGTGCCTGTGGAGGATCTAATGCTATACAAATAGCTTAGCCAGCAACTTCAGAGAAGCATTATATGTACCTCAAAGGATAGGCAAAGGATGTGGTGTCTCTTATGGTGGTCTTATTTATTTTTCTCAGAATGGCAGATAATGGGTGGGTGGGGGGAGATGACTCTCCAACATCCTCCCAACTGGCTTTCATGGTAATATAGCATACTTAGTAGCTAGAGAACATTAGGTATCTGTTGGAAATGGGGATGATGATGGGCCATCCTGAAGAAAGGTAATGCTAGCTAAATTAAATCCTGAGCAGGATCATACTTTACTGCATATATTGTCTCTTTGTGTAGGCCACCTTATAATAAAGTGCAGATTTGGTGGCCACAGAGTTGATCAAGCTTTACTACCTCTGTCTTCCTATAATTCTTGCTTTGCTTAAAATTCAGACTGGTGAAGAGTTCATGATACTCAAAAGCTTGTTTGCTGGTTTGCATTAGTTTGATTGGTCCCAAATAAAGGTATTGCCTGCCTCATTTTGAATATTGGGATTTTTTGCTGTTTCCTTGAGAGCTATTTTCAGTTTTGCCCAATAAATTATCCTTCACTCAATTTTTCAGAATAGAGTTGGAGATTTGGTGTTAGTAACAGTTTCAAAAGAATTAACTGTTGCTTTTTGAAAGTCTGGTTTATTTGTTGTTGTTTTTTTTGTAATTTTTCACAGGACTAAGTGCAACCCTTCTTTTTTAAGTTACTCATTTGTTCTTGATTAAAGAAGGGTTGTAGGTGTGTATTACAGTCAGCCTCTGCAGTAATCTGAGGTTACTAAGACAAGTCTCAATTTTTTAAAAAGTCAACAAAAGTCAGACTGGTAGTAATGAGTTTCGGGTCATGTATGTTGAACTGATATGCCATACTGGAAGTAAGCTGACTTCTCAACATATAGATGCAGTGTGTGCCCATGATTCTGCCTTGATGTTGTTCTCCTTGGAATATGTAATATAAAGGAGCTGCGGCATGCTATGGCCTCTGATTGTCTACTCCCGTCTTCTGTTCTCTCAGACTTCTTGGAGCTACAGGTTAATAGCGACAGCAAGTTATTGTGTGTGTGTGTGTGGGGGGGGGGGAAACTTCTTGGAGCTACAGGTTAATAGTGACAGCAAGTTTTTTTGGGGGGTGGTGGAACCCAAGACATCTCTGTTGGCTGCAAGAAAAGTTCCAAAAGCTTTATTAACTTCTGTTATGTCAAATGATATCAGAGGAAGGTTCAAGCAGTCACATTTATCAAAACTGTTCATAGGGCCCTGTGAGAACCAACTTTGAAGATGGGGTGTAAAAAGATTAAACTTGGATGTTAGTTTCATGAGCTTTATTCAAAGAGACAACTGGGAATACTTGTTCCATTTCTTCCCCCCTCCATTCCTGATTCCTTTGTGTTGCAGCCAAGATCTCAATATGATATTTAACTTCATTTAGTTCGAAACAAACAAAATACTTGTTAAGGCAGGATTTCTGATAGTATGTGATCAACAGCATCACATATTATCAGAAACCATGCCTTAACACAGGTAGAGCTCCTTTCAGACCTTCCCCAGCAACACAAGCAGGAAGGGGCTGACACATGCATTTCTGACTCCTTCCACAAATATACTTCATTAGTAAAGCTGTGGAAGACAGGAGGGCCTGGTGTGCTCTGGTCCATGGGGTCATGAAGAGTCGGACATGACTTAATGACTAATCAAGAAGTAGAGCTTTGGTATCTCCAAGTTCAGAATTTTAAAATTAAATGGAGCAGGATGCAACTGCAGACATTCAAATTGGGCTGTAACAGATGTTGTGATGGTTTTGGAATGCAGCTGTTCCTAGGAGTACTGGAAGCAATAAAGAAAGAAATATTTGGTCCCCCATTTCGGAAAATGCAAACACCAGCATTTATTATTAGAAATATAAAATTTTGGAAAATTTTCATTTTTCCCCGGAAAAAATGAAAAATTTCCACAATTTTACATGTCTGGAGAGAAATTACATAGTCTCAGAAGTCTTTCATTAAAGTCTTCCGTTATATACTCTGAATACCATGTCACAGACATATTATTCATCATTGTAAAAGAACATATTCCACACTCTATCCCCCCCCCCATTTTTCCAGAAAAAACAAAACAAACAAAAAGCTTTGGAAAAAAACCTATTTTCCCTCCTATTTTGGGGGTGCTTTCCAGGCCTTCCCATCTCTAGTTATTACCAATTTAGACTTCATCGGTATGGGATCGAAGGGAAACCACTGCTGACAGAATGGCTTAAGAAGGCTGTATGTGGGCAGACTAATGATTTCATTCTGAGAATAGTTGGATACTGTAAAGGTGCCACAGATCTCAGCTTTGTTTTTTGAATGATCCATAAACTACCTAAGGTAGCAAACTAATCATTAATTCATCGAGGAGCTCAGTTCTGTGGGAGCCTCCAGAGACTTCTGCTGCATACTGGCATTTACATTGATGGAAGCAATTTGGCATTCTGTTCCTGAGCTAGTTTGCTGTAATCTGCCAGTGGCCTGGGCTTTGTTCAAAGGGCTCTTTGTTCACTGTCCTTTCTTCTTTGTGGACATCTGGATGTCAGGAGATGGAGTCCATGTCAGTGTCTGCTTATACTTTTGTATTGTACAGTTGTTCATACATTAAATACAGCACACACCTAGGTTGGGGGTTGTTAGCACATGGTACTTAAGCTTTTGAGTTTGTGCTGTTTTGTTAGTAATGTGGCATTAGAACAGACAAATGTTTCTAGTCCCAGTATGGTTAAGATTTGGTTTAATACTGCCACTCCCTCCCTCCCTCCCTCTCCACCCCCCCAGACCATTATTTGATCTGTCATAACAGTAAACAGGATTTATTCAATATTTTCATAAAGGGGTTCTAAATAATTCTGCGCTAAATGATTTAAATTATTAATATAAACACAATAGGCTGACACTTTATGTTAAAACTGAATGAGAAACACTTACAAAATAACCACCATTAAAGACAGGTTTTGACTCTATAAAAAAGGTACATGGCAAATTATCTGACTTCCAGGGTAAAGTAATATAGGAAGTGAGAACCTTCAAGTACAACCTACCAGCCCAACCCTTCAGGATGATTGAGAAGGATACAAAGGATAGCGTTTATAGTCTCTGAGAAATCCAAAGGAACCAACTGATTGCTTGGACTCTTGTCTAGCATAAGGAATTCATTGGGGTGAGCAAGGCTTTTGTGTTGCCACACACAGGCTGAATTTCAAAGGGCTCTGGATAAATGATGTTTCTGGAGTTGAAAATCATTACTCTTTCAAATATATCTCTCCGCAAAGAAAACTGGATACAGTGGTGCCTCGCTTAATGACGATAATCCGTTCCTTTCAAATCTCTGTTAAGCAAAATCATCGTCAAGCAATAATAAAAAAACCCATTGAAATGCATTGAAAACAAGTCAGGGCACTCCAATGGGCGAAATACCTCATCATGCAGCGAAGATCCTCCATAGGGTGGCCATTTTTCAATGCATGTAAAGCGAAGAATCCATCCTGAATACACTGGGGAGCCATTTTGAAAACCTGATGATCAGCTGTTTTTGATCGTCGTTAAGCGAAAAATCGGTTCCTGAAGCAGGAAACCGATAGTCATCAAGGGGATTTTCCCAATTTAAACATTGTTTGGCGATCGCAATAGCGATTGAAAAAAAACTCATCGTAAAGTGGATTCGTTGTTGAGCGGGGTAATCGTCAAGTGGGGCACCACTGTATTATAAAAAATTATAAATTTCAGATTTCTTTAACAAAGAAATCCTCCTTCTCTGTTCCTCTTGAAAGGGAAATAACTACGGTACCTTCAGAACCCAAGTTTCTAAATTCACAATTGCAGGTGATTTATTAACATACTCAGGTTGTGCAAGTGGACAAGGTTGTGTAAGTGGACAATGACTCCTGGGTATCCTAGCTTTATCCGTCTCTGACTCTTAAAATGGTGATGTCCATTATGGTGCAAATGAAAGTGATTTCATCCACAAAAATATAAGACAAACTAATTCCACTGGACTTCAGAACACTACATTAATTATTCTCATTTACCTTTATTTGAGATATTAATTACTTTGAAGAGTTATACTGGTTGACATTGTATGGATACAGTGGTGATAGCAAAGTAAGATTTAATTCTGCCTTTGCTTTCTGTACCTTCTGTAGCACTGTTTTGGCCTTCCACAAGTGTAAAAACATTGCAAACAATCTTATAAGTTTCCTGAAGCTGTTAGCACTTACAGTTATTATTCAAACATGATTCATGCCTGTAGTGGTCTGCTGTTTGAGACAAGTAATGGAAGCATTACTGTATTTGGTTTTGCTTTGCAAAACCTTTAAACTCTCTTCAAAATTCTTCTTTAACATTTGCTGATGTAGCTCTGCGTTGGATAGATAGAGCCACTCCTGTGTTCATTAGATTACCTCTCTATGAAGGCAAGCTTTTCTGTGCCCTTTTTGTGTTTTCTCCTCGAGTGATGGTGTCTTTGATCCAGGGTTGAGATGTTCAGTACTGTACTTGCCTCCATTCCCATGCTGCTGCACACACACTGGGGGCTACAGGGTCCTTGCTGTGAAATAGCATCATCTGCCTTGTACAGAGAGATACCTACTCAGTTTTGGGTTTTGTGTGCCATGAACAGAAATCAAGTGTGGGAAGATTCTTTCAGAGCAAATGGTGGATACGATGTTATTGCTGCATTGTTTTGACTTGCATTTTAAAAAAAACATTTTAAGATGTTTGTATACTTACTGTTTTTAGCATTTAAATGCTGTCTTTTTAATGATGTAAGCCACCTTGAATCTGTTTAGGAAGAAAGGGGGAGTGTTTTAATCAATCAAACAAACAAATAAAAGTTGATGTTAAGCTGTACTGATTCTAAGAGGGGTGTGTGTGTTCTTTTCCCTTAAGTTGAAACTGACTTAAAGCGATTCTAATAGGGCTTTCAAGGTAAGTGAGATATTTAAGGAGTGGTTTTACCAATTACATTCCCCTGGTGAGTTTCCATGGCTGAGCGGAGATCCAACTCTGTTCTCCAGAGTCTTAATCCCTCACTCTATCTTCCTTCGGTCCTTTTTGAGGAGAAAAGCAGAATAAAAATATTTTAAATAAATAAATTAATGCACCACACTGGGAACCCTTTAAGAAGTAGTGTTAGTAAAAATTATTCTACTTGCTCTCGTGTTACATGCAAATGTTGCATTATTGATTCTGTTTTGTACCTGGCTTGTCATAAATGAAGCATTTCCTGTTTGACTACTGTTTGACTACAATGTCAGACCTAGCAGTGGACTTGTAGTTCAAGTCAACTATGATACTTTATTTTGTATTTTACCATTTTATGGCCTGTAGCCAAGCAAATAGAATTTACATTGTTACTTTGCACCACTACCCTGTTTCCCCGAAAATAAGCCCTAACCTGAAAATAAGCCCTAGTACGATTTTCGGGATGCTCGGAATATAAATGAGCCCCAGTTAAGCAAAACCCCGCCGAATATAAGGCCTACCCCCAAAATGAGCCCCAGTTAAGCAAAACCCCGCCCTCCGCCATTGCAGCAAGCAGAAGAAGATGACATGACTGTATTTGAATAAATGTAGATTGTTGTACATGAAAAAAAAAATAAAACATCCCCTGAAAATAAGCCCTACTGTGTTTTTTGGAACAAAAATTAATGTAAGACCCTGTCTTATTTTCAGGAAAACACGGTACTGTATTTGTTTGTGTTTGCAGTTTAATCTCAAGATAGTAACTGAACAAGTACAAGATTTCAAAATTGTGATAAATTGATAAATGTTCACCTTTGGGACAATCTTTGGGGATACTGTATGTACAAGCGGAATTCTAAATTCCATCAGTATTATTTATGGACCTTTGTTTCATGTGCAACTTTCTAAAACGTAATCTTCTTAGATATGGTTTTCTTTTGAATTGGCATTTTTCTTTGAAATCTGCTTTGTGTTATAAGGCTGGCTTTTTTTTTGTACACTGTTAACTAGAAACATAGTGTTTTTTGCATGTTGCCATGAAGTACAGCGACTGATATTATAATAAGCTGTTGCTCATTTCAGTGAACAAAATGCAGCCTGACTTGCAGTAAAACAAATGTTGAAGCAACACTTGCACATTGAACTTGTCTATCATTAATTTGCAACTTGTGAACTTCCAGATAAGAAAGAACTGCTGAGTCAAAATGCTGAGTCAGCAAAAACAGTCAGAAATAGTATTTTTGCTAGTGTTGTCTTGTATTTGACTATTATCGCCTCACATTTTGTTCTGTTCCTGCTTTCTGCTCTCAATGTAATAGCTTAAGTAGCTTTTGTTCACTATCAGCTGCTGCAACCTGATGTTAGTAGCACAAGAAATATCCGTTATGTGTCCCCCCACTACCATATAGCTTTTAAGGGGGTGCTTATAGCTGCAGTTAATGATACGTAAAAAGAAGAATAAAATGTTGGAACATACATGGCACCAGAAATCTTGCTACTGCAGGTGGATTTGTATCTACAGTATATGTTGCAGGTGGATTTATATAATTTAATATCCAGTAAGCCAAGACATTTGATATTTCAGGTGCTTGACCACCTGTGTATTATAACAATATTATTTGACACTATAAAATAATATGATTATGACGGTGTGCTTACAACAGACAAATGTTTTTAGAATTGATGATCTTTAGTGTAGTAGTAATGCTAAAAGAATTGTGTGTACTAAATTAATCCAGTAGAGCCGTACTAAAGGATTCCAATAAACAGTTGTAAATTTGTCCCAGATACCATAAAGCAGGATTGAGCAATCATTCCTCTCACTGGTCTGTTTGGTGAGAATGTAAGAAGCGGGATTTTCAATAGCTGTTCCCAGGTATTAAAATGTCCTTCTGCTGATAGACAGACATCTTTTTTTAAAAGATAGCTGAATTAAGACTACAAAAATGAGTATTTGCTGTACATTCTCATTTCTTTCTCATGTCTTTTAAAATATGTTTTAAATGGTTTTTAAATTAATATATTTACATGAACTGCTTAATTGTTTTTAAATATTGTGATTTATTATATTTTTAGTTGCATCTTGTTTTCATCAGATTTCTGAGCTGCCATAGATGCCTATGTTGAGAGAAAGTTGGCATAGAAATAAAGAAGTCTTCATGTCTGTCATCCTCACTTCACCCTCACAACAGCCCTTTGAGGCAGGTCAGGCTGAGAAACTATGATTGGCCTGGGGGTCCCCCAGTGAATGTTACAATTGTATTGGGCATTTGAACCCGGGTCTTTTGAATCCTCATCCAGTGTTTTAGCCACAGATCTATCCTCCTTGAGATAGAACAGCAAATCTATTTCCTGTGATATTCTTGTGTGTGCCTTTTGACCTTTGACTATTCAGATACTAGGGCCAAACCTAGGGAGGAAAAGTAGAATTAATATTGCTGCAATGTCAGAGGATAGATAGAAAATTAAGCAATGAAGTGATAAAAGATGTTACTTGTTTATAAAAATTGGAATAGTACAACAGTGAATGAAGGTGCATCAGAAGGCATAAATTACAGAAGTGTGAGCAGGGTATATATATGTATAAATTAAGCTTATTTAAAAAAACACCAACCAACATATCCTATATCAAAAACGTGAAAGGATCATGTAGTACCTCGAAAATTAACAATTTTTGTTTGACAGAAGCTTTCATGGATTTCATACATCTGATCAAAGTGGACTAAAGTCCACAAAAACCTATACTGAATGAGACTTGTTCATCGTGGAAGGGCCACAAGACTGTTTTTGCTGCAACAGACTAATAGTGTTACCTCCCTGGAACATTTCTGTCATTTGCCAGTTTTATATTCAGAATTGCTCATGAATATATTCTGCCTAGTTTATTCGTATAATTGTCTCTAAGGTAATAAATTGATTGATATTGGTAGGAGGTAGTAGTTCAAACATAGTTAAGTTTATTTTATTCATTGCTCATTAATATGTTCTGCCTAGTTTGTATAATTGTCTCTAAGGTAATAAATCAATTGATATTGGTAGGAGGTAATAGTTCAAACATAGTTAAGTTTATTTTATTTTTCTTTGGCTTTGTGTCTGTCATGCTATGCATAGCTTGTAAATATGTATTTCAGCAATTGCTAGTGTGGTTAGCAGGAAGACCTTAAAGGCTGACAGGAATCCCAGATGTAGTGTGGGGATGGGTTGCAGTGTGGTGCAGTATGGCGTGGTATGATGGGAGTTATGTGGTGGAAAGAAAGAAAAAGGTGTGAAGAAGACACAAAGCGTATCCTGTCCCTACAGAGACTCAGTATTCAAATGTCCTTGAACTTCTTCCAAAATCTCTTAATTCTTGAATCCACCCTTCATGAAAACCAAGTGTCAATAGCATTAGTGGTGTGGGTGCAGCTTACAAGGATTCTGCTTCTCTCTTATGATAAATATACACTCTCCTTGTAGTGGATGAATACTTAGATTAGCTGTGCTAACAAGATGAATATTTTAACTGTTTCCTAATGTAATTCCCCCCTCTCCTGTTTTTGCAGGACTCCCTTGCAATTATGGATATCTAAAAGAGGAAGACAGTGTGGAGGGGGTATCCCCCTCCCCACTCCTTTTGTTGCCTTCTGGAAACTTTCTTTGCTTGGACAGTAATCCAGTTTTATGTACATAAAGAAATGAAGACTTGAACTCTGAATTTATATTGATGAAAATATTTATTTTTTTATGTGCCAAGCCTTAAACAGCACAATGATTCCTATGGCTGCTATCTGAAATTGAATAAGAAGACCTGGAAATCTTGAACTTTTTATGAAGAAGCCAAGTGTTTGTTGCATTTCTTATTTAAGAAAGTAGTTCAGTGAAGAGTAAAATGAGTTCTGTGGTGCCTGACTGCACCTTGAAGTGTCGATCTCTGCAGCATGCTTTGGATATTGTTTCTGTCGTGACCCGAGGAAGTGAAGTCCAGATCAAGGCCTTCCTCACTTCTCACTGCTATAATGCAGCAACAAGCAAGGATGTCTTTGGTAGGAATGCCCTCCATCTTGCCTCTTCTTGTGGAAAGAAAGGTGTGCTCGAATGGCTGGCAGAAACAAATGGGGTGGATTTGATGGCGAAAGACAAAGAGTCCGGATGGACAGCTTTGCATCGTGGCATCTTCTATGGCCATATAGATTGTTCCTGGGCACTGCTGAAGGTTAGTCTTTGACTTCTTAAAATAGTGCTATAAATATATGTTGTGTTAATAAATGACTACATATGGGTGTGAAACCTAGACAGTTAAGAAAACTGACAGGAAAAAATTGATTTGTTTGAAATGTGGTGCTGGAGGAGAATTTTGCAAATACCCTGGACTGTCAGAAAGACGAACAAGTGAGATCTGGATCAACTTGAGCCTGGAGGCAAAAGTGTTGAAACTGATGCTGTCCTTTGGGCACATCATGAGAAGACAGGATTCCCTGGGAAAGACAGTAATGCTTGGAAAAATGGAAGGCAGCAAGAAAAGAGGAAGACCAAATATGACTTGCTAAAGGAAGTCACAGGCTTGGGTTTGCAAGAGTTGAGCAAGGCAGTTGAGAACGGGATATTTTGGAGAGTACTCATTCATAGGGTCGCCATAAGTTGGAGGCAACTTGACAGCACATAACAGCAACAACAACATGTATAGCAAAATCACATTCTTTATAAATAAATTGCTGTGAAATCCCAGATGGTAATTTTTTCAACCAGTTTGTCCTCACATTAAAATCAAACAAGATTGCTCTGTTGAATAACATGACGAAAATCTCCGTTGATAGCCTTACCTTGAAGCAGGAATGGACAACTCCAAGGGCGTAAAGGTTGTTCTTTCCTTTCCCAGACTTTGGGGGCAGGGCAGGGCAGGGGTGGGCATTACTCTCTCTGATAGCCCAGTCCCTCTGGGGAAAATAATTGCAAGTTGCATGCCCAAGAGGGCTGTTCTAGTGACCAGGTGGGGATGGATGTGGCTGAAAGCTGTGCTAAGATTCTGTGCTAAGTGAAACATTTCCTCATGGGGATAGATTATCATATTTTTCTGTGTATAAGTCGCCCCCCACTTTTCTAAACTAAAATTAAGAAATATAAGTGGAGTTTAGCAAGTGGAGGTGAAAGCAGGGATCAAAGCCCTGCAGGATCACTTTGATCCCTGCTTTCTGCTCCACTTGTTTTTTCTCTCCTCAGCTTACTTCCATGTATAAGAATACCTTCAATTTTTAGTCTAAAGATCTTAGGCAAAAGTATAGTCTTATACACGGAAAAATACAGGAAATTGAAAAAAGAGATTCAGTTATTGATTCAGAAGTTTTTATCTTTTTAAAAGCTGCCTTGTCCAAAGGGCAGGTACAGATTGCCCCTTGTATGGCCACCGTCTCTAGGGGTCACCCTGACTTATTTATTTCCTTTGCCAAACTGCCAAAGGGAGTTTCATTTACCAAATGAATGAGGATGTATGTATATACTGTTCATACATTGTGGGTGAAATAGTTCAATTTTAGCCAGAACTTGACATAAGAAATGAAGTAAAACTGAAGAAGTACAGTGGTGCCTCGTTTAACGATTACCTCGTTAAATGACGATCGCAAAATGATGTTCCTATAGGGAAAACTCGCATTACGATGATCTAAAAACAGCTGATTGTTGGGTTTCAAAATGGCCACCCGCTGTGCAAAATGGCTCCCCGCTGTGTTAAGAACGGATTCCTCGCTATACAGGCACCAGAAAAGGGACACCCTATGGAGGATCTTTGCTGCACGATGAGATATTTTGCCCATTGGAACGCATTGAACGGTTTTCAATGCATTTCAGTGGTTTTTTTAATTTCGCTTAACAGCGATTTTAACGGAACGCATTATCGTCGTCAAGCAAGGCACCGCTGTATATATGAAGATCCAGAAAATTTTGATTCCTGCGAGAGTACACCATCATGGTGCTTGCTGATAATGGCAACTGTGTGAAAGGAGCCTCAACCTCTGCCTTATCAAAAAGCTGGAATGTGGATGAGAGGAGGGTTGGATCCTGTTTTGTTAAACCTTGGAAAAACTCTGAAAGCAACAATTAAGCTTCACTCCTTTTTTAGGTGCCTCTAAGTCTTGGTACACAGTCAGGGAGTGTTTTTCTCCTCCAGGTTCAGGTTAATTTCAGGAGCACTCCTTCATCCTGTTCTTGCCAGGTTAAATGTATTTGTTGGTGGTGAATTGGCAAGTGCATTTCTTGACCTTGTGTGGTCAGCATTTGGAAGTTCCAGTATTTTTTAAACACATAAGATAAACAAAACATTGCAGTGTAATACGTTTTAAGATAAAGGGAGAGTGTATATTGTCCTCCAAGAAACATGTATTGTCCACTCTAAAATGTCTGATATGTTTGCATCAGTTTACTTACATGAAATATTTGTATCTTGTTCTTCAGTATATGTCTTTTCATGGTAGTGACTGAACTAATTTTTTTAAAATATGAGCAGTTAGAATTTTAAAAACTATTATTAAATAATAAAGTGTCATCCATCAAGTCAGTTCTGATTTATGACAACCCTTTTCAAGGTTTCCTAGGTAAAGCACTCAGAAGTAGTTTATCATTTCCTTCTTCTGAGGGTAGCCCAGGACTGTGCACATTGCCCAGGGCCACATAAGCTGATGCTTCTCACAGGGGGAGACTTGAACTTCCAACCTCTAACTCACTGAGCGATCCAGCCAGCCAATAGCATAAAATCAGAATGTAAAATATAGCTTGAGTTAAGAGTAACATAAAAATCAAGAACAAAAAAAGGTATCTAACCAGTTTTGAAAATATGGAAGTTGAGTCATGGCAACTTCCAGATAGCCACACCTGGATGACTGAGATTCTTCACAGACAACAGCTTTCAAAATGTGTAAGACTGAGCAGGCATCTCTACTCTTGGGTCCTCTTGACAGTAGATAAATAGAGGCCATTCTAGAGGTACGGGCGACTGGGAAGACAGCGGGGATCTCAAGTTGTATATGATCGAAGTGAAAAGACAGGTTGATGTGACAAGAGATGTTCTTTCAGATACCCATGTCATGTAAGGCTTCAAAGATAGATACCAACACTTTGAAGTGTGCCAGAAAACAGATGAGTGAGTAGCATTCTTGAAGTTGCAGTCAGCTGTGCTTCTTAGGTCTAGCTTTAATTAGCAACCCAGCTGCTGTATTCTGAGCTGCTTCTGAGCATTCTTCAAAGGGAGTTCAATGTACAACACGCTGGAATATTGCAGTCTGTAGATTGCCACCAAAAGGGTTGCCAGTGGCCAGATATTATCTGTTCAGCTCTTTCTTTACTTCATGGAAAAGAGCTGTGCTGTAGAGGCCACTTGGGCCTCCAGTGGAAACATATCAGTAAACCCCTTCAGACAGTCACTGAGATGCAGTAGTAAGATGTAGCCAGACTAGGCACATTGACTTAGTGGAATTGAGAGAAGAGTTGACTCTGCAAAACCCCACTGATTCAGTAGACCTACTCTTAATTGCAGTTTACTGCTGGGTTTCAGCCAGTGAATCAGATCTTCAAGAATAGATGATGAATCAGGTAAGAAGAAAATGTGGCTATGCTTTTTACAATCAGTGTGAGATTCTGTATCTTTCCTTTTTCCTTCTCCTTTTAGCATGGTGTGAACTTATATGTGCAAGATAAAGAAGGCTTGTCTGCTTTGGATCTTGTAATGAAGGACAGGCCAGCCTATGTTGTTTTCAAGAATACAGGTAAGTCATTATATATTAGGATTATTCTTCTTACAGGTATAGACTCAAACATATGGATAGAACTGTTCTTAAACAAAATGTGCAGTGTATAAAATGTTATGCACTACAGCCATCTGCTGATCATACTAAACCTGTTGGATGCTTGGTTAACTACTTCTCCCACAGTTGCCTGTCCAGAACGGTAATTTGTGTAATTAGCTACAGGTACAGTCCTCAGGTCTCTTTGTTTCCCCATTTTCAACCTACTTAGGTGGTAAGTAATCAGCTGTTTGCTAGAAGAATGTGAGTGAGTGCATGTATATTTTATCATGTATAGGAAGCTGACCAGCCTTTCGCACAGTCTAAACCAATGGTTCCCAACCTTGGGTTCCCAGATGTTCTTGGACAACAACTCCCAGCAATTCTGACTTAGCACAGCTAGTGGTGAAGGCTTCTGGGACTTTTAGTCCAAAGAGTATCTGAAGACCCAAGGTTAGGGACTACTGGTCCAAACTAACCACCCAGCCACCTGCCTTCTCCAGCTCTCCCTTTTAAAATGAATCCCAGTGCTGTGGATTCTAGTATGTTGAAGCTACACTTATCATGCTCTTCTATATTCAGTTCTGGAATGCTTCAAAAGAGTATGAAAATAATCTATAACTATTAATTTGTTATCTGAAAATAAAATAGATGGATAGTTTTTTTTGTTTTTGTTTTTTGGAGGTCTTCTACCTTTTCTACCTTACCAGCTTTCAGCAGGCTCTGTGGTAGGAGTGTTCAACTTGCAGCTGCAGGATGTTATTCAGTGTAACTCCCATCATCCTTTATCATTGGCTATACTGGCTAGAGCTGAAAGGCATAGTATTCCAATGATATCTGGAGGGCTTCATATCATTACCCCCTTTCTAGAGGATTTGATGAATTAGTCTGTTGATGGGGTACATCTTCCACTCTTCACAACATACATATCTCTGTTTTTTCTTCCAACAAAAATAGGATTAAATACTTCATTGAAGCAAGTTTGATAAAAATTGCAGCTTAAAACTTAGTTTCTAGATAATTCTATGATTGTGTAATTTGCATAATTTGCCATGACTAATTCCAGCTAATTGGTGAGGTGCTAGGGATGAGGTGCAGTATTTCAATCACAAAGTGGTTATGTGCCCAATTGTACAGCTGAGGTATGCCCCAGCATCCTCCTAATTAGCTGTGGCAGGTTACACAAACCTTACAGGAACACCAGTGAGATTCTGACCACACTGAACCTATACTTACTGTACTTTTCTATATTCAATATTTCTTTAAAAATGTATGAAGTGAACTATAGCCATGAATGTGTTATCTGAAAAGAAAACTCTTATTAAGAATAATGTCCTGCTGAACATAACTGAACCAATGAGATTCTGACCACACTGAACCTCCACTTACTGTACTTTTCTATATTCACTATTTCTTTTAAAATGTATGAAGTGAACTTTAGCCATAAATGTGTTATCTGAAAAGAAAACTCTTATAAAGAATAATGTCCTGCTGAACATAACTGAAATTTTAGTTGTGATGTTTTGCATGGGTTTGTTATACTTTGGCTTGTATGTGCGGTGTTTTGATGTGGTACTTAACTGTATTCACTGATGTAGTTCTCTTTATGTAACTCTTGAGACCACTGAGATCATATTGTCTTAAATTATGCATTTGTTAGGGTACTTAGTTTTGTCATAGTAGTAAGCTGATGCACTTCATTTTTCAGGTTTAGTTAGTGCTCTAAAACAGTGGTTCTTAACCTTTGTTACTCGTGGGTACTTAGTTTTGTCATAGTAATAAGCTGATGCACTTCATTTTTCAGATTTAGTTAGTGCTCTAAAATGTCGTTTTGCAGAATACATAGAGAGAAGACATAGAAAGAAATGTTAAAATAACAAATCTCTTGGACATGTGTATGGTGATAGAAATGGAATTTACCATTTTGTCTTAGATCCTACAGATGTTTACACATGGGGAAACAACATAGTCATTTTGCAGAATACATTGAGAGAAGACATAGAAAGAAATGTTAAAATAACAAATCTCTTGGACATGTGTATGGTAATAGAAATGGAATTTACCATTTTGTCTTAGATCCTACAGATGTTTACACTTGGGGAAACAACATAAATTTTACTTTGGGTCATGGTGGCCAGCAGAGTAAACATCATCCTGAGTTGGTGGATCTCTTTCCTAGGAATGGTGTTTATGTTAAACAGGTAATTCAGATATTTTGAAAGATAGTTCAGTACAAGCATGTTCTCTGGATTCCACTCTGTCCACAAAATTGGGTTTAATTATTATAGCTATATGCTTCTGTCAAATTCTTGTTTTTATGCTCCTGTACCTGGAATACTTAGGCATGTGAATAACTTTGAAGTAGATTATAAAGTAGATTGCCTTATTTGATTCATTCAGTTTCTGTGTATAAACTGATAGGATGAAACCCAGTATTCTGTTCCTGCCACCTCCTCCCCCGCCCTGATTGTTCAGTAATTGACCTATGAATAGTTTCTTGTGCTTGTGTTTTATACTTGGGTAAACTTGTGGTGGCGCTGCGGGCTAAACCGCAGAAGCCTGTGCTGCAGGGTCAGAAGACCAGCAGTCGTAAGATCGAATCCACGCGACAGAGTGCCCGTCGCTTGTCCCAGCTCCCGCCAATCTAGCGGTTCGAAAGCATGCAAATGCGAGTAGATAAATAGGGACCACCTTGGTGGGAAGGTAACAGCGTTCCATGTCTAAGTCGCACTGACCATGTGACCACGGAAGATTGTCTTCAGACAAAACGCTGGCTCTATGGCTTGGAAACGGGGATGAGCACCGCCCCCTAGAGTCGAACACGACTGGACAAAAATTGTCAAGGGGAACCTTTACCTTTACCTAAACTTGTGGTACAGTAACACAGAGATTGGCACTTCCTGGAGATCCAGAGGCTTTTTTGCCCACCTCATATCTTTGAGGTCCCTATTCCCTAACACTTCCCACCCAGGTGCCGTGAGAGCTTTTTCAGCTGCAAAATAGTGGTGCAGAGTTTGAGGGTGCTGTTCCTTTTCTGCCTTCCCACCAGGCTTGTTTCTGGAATAAAGTAAACCTCATCAAATGTAATTAAAGGATACTGAGTCATGTAGATCAGTATGGAGCTATTCTGTCTCTCCCTCCACTCCGAATTCATATCTAGAACAAAAGGTTTGTTCTAGATGCCTTACATGAGCAGGTGCTTCCGAGGCCCATCATTTAGCGGAAGATGTGTATGAAGTAAAGCTACCTTTGTACAGTCTTGGCTCATGTGTAGGTATAGTTTATGAGACTACACACAAATGCAATTTATATCTAGTTTTAAAAAATCACAACTGTGAACAGTGGCAAGAACTTTAAAATGTTCCCGTTTCGCTCTTCTCTGTCATTGTGCTTCCTTGTATAAAATCACAAACATTTCTGTATATGCTCCGCCTATTACTGTAAAGATGGAGATATGCAATTTATTTCCGTTTCTCTTCAGAATCTTTACTTTTGTTAAGCAAGTTGAATCATGATCCCTTTATGTTATACTGAAAACAGTGACATGTTTATGTATGTTGTATCACTGTAAATGTATAATTAGGTTTTTTTACTTTGTTCAACTAAAAGCTATTCTCTCCCCCCTTTCTTCTTCATTTCCTTAGGTGGTACTTTGCAAGTTTCATTCCGTGTTTCTTTCCCAGAAAGGACAGGTTTACACCTGTGGGCATGGTCAAGGAGGGCGCTTGGGTCATGGGGATGAACAGACTTGCTTGGTAGGTAAAATAAGTTTCAGACTGTTAAAAAAACTGGCTTTCACATCTTTAATCCACCCAACAGCTGCATGCACTGGAGATTTCTTGCTTTTTTTTAATCTATCCTGCAGTGCAGAAAGGCTTACTGTACCTTTAAAATTCAGTCAGAAGCAACTTCTGCTGTAGCACCAGGAGCAGCTATTTTTAATATTTAAAAGGGACCTTTGATGAGGATTAAAAAAGGATCCTTCTATAATGAACATATTATTGGTGAGATCTTAATTGTTTTTAACAAAAGTTACTGAAGTAGAATGGATCCCAGTGCCTGCTGTTTCACCCCAGTGTAGAAATCCTTGGTATGAATAGACAGATTTTCTCATGCACAGATTTTACACAGTGTCTTTCTTAATGCAATCCGGAGTGTCATTTAAAGCAATAAATACCTGTCTCCATACCACATTCAAGCAGTAGGATATGATAAGACATTTTCATTTTTAGGGGGAATGGGGAATACAAAATTTTCTTGAACCTTTTAGTTAAAGTTTGTACTGGTCACAATGATAATCAAGAGATTCCTATTTAAACCCTGGTTAGCCCTGGTTAGGAGTGAACTGTGGTCAGTGTTAGGCCTGGTTGACATAATTCATGTTGTTTTTTTGGTGAAACAAAGGGACGTATACATTTTAGATTATATTTCTTCGACGTTATATTTAAATTTGCTAAGCTTATTACAGGACAAATATTTTTTGTTTAATTTTCCTCTGATTAGCAGTTTATCTCTGACCTCATACTGGACAAAGAGAATATGGCTCAGTAAAAAGCTGATGACATATACCAAGATCCAGGTCTATAGAGCCTGTGTCCTGAGCACACTCCTGTACTGCAGGGAGTCCAGGACCCTTTGTGCATGACAGGAGAGGAAGCTGAACATGTTCCATATGTGTTGTCTCCGACACATTTTTGGTATCACCTGGCAGGACAAAGTACCAAACAGAGTAGTCCTAGAATGAGCTAGGATTTTTAGCATGTATACATTACTGAAACAGCGACGTCTACGTTGGCTTGGGCATGTCGTGAGAATGGCTGATGGTCGGATTCCAAAAGATCTCCTGTATGGAGAATTAGTGCAGGGAAATCGCCCCAAAGGGAGACCACAGCTGCGATACAAGGATATCTGCAAGCGGGATCTGAAGGCCTTAGGAATGGACCTCAACAGATGGGAACCCTTGACATCTGACATAGTGACTTTTCCAAAAAGTCACTATGCATAACATATCACTGTGTGAAATACTTTTTCAATGGTTTTGACTAAGGTGTGGGTGGTAACACACCTGACTGAGACACTGATGCAGTTTTCTTTAATCCCTTTCAGATTCCTCGACTGGTGGAAAGCTTGATGGCTCATCAGTGTTCTCAGGTTGCAGCAGCCAAAGATCACACACTTGTGCTTACAGAAGATGGATGTGTGTACACCTTTGGCCTCAACACTTTTCATCAACTAGGTGTTCTTCCACCTCCTCCTAATTGCAGTGTTCCCAGACAGGTAATACAAACCTTTCAGTAAGTGAATAATTTTGGTATGCCTGTATATATGTGTGTGTGCCGGCAATGCAAATAATACATGCAGCCATGTCTGCACATTAGTATGCCGAGCACAGTGCAACATCACTATTTAGTATCCATTGCCTTTTATGGAAACATATTGTATGAGAACATATTTAAGATTGTTTAAACATGGTAGTGGATTGTTCAGTGCTGAGTAACCGCATCAGTGTGTCTTCCCCACCTTGTTCACAACCTTACATACTTCATAGTCATTCATGAAATGAATGTACTGTACTCAGTAGCTTTGCATGCCATTTTGAACCAAGAAGGAGCTAATTTGTTTTTGAAAGATTTGATTTGTTTACCTCTTCAGGTGATCTAGTCTTTCTTAAACCAGTGGATTTCTGCCGATGGAACCATGTTTCTTCTGAAACATCTTTCCAGAGAGAAAAGCTATATTTATTGACAGTATCCCTGCTTTCCTAAATATGTCAGTGGGGTTATGTTATCATTGCCATAATGTGTAATCCTCTTTAGCTTGCCGTTGTGCTTTGCAGATGTTTACATAAATGCAGATATGGAAAGGGTGCTATATAATGCACATGACATTGGTGGTATTGTTACACGGCTCAGCCTTTGCTCATGTAGTCAAACAAGCAGGTAGATTAACACCAGAATAGGAGTCAGGACTTCAGAAAATTAGCAACATGCAACATTATATGTATGGAAAAAAATTTATTCTGGGCAAGTATTTGAATTTTTGATATTTTCCCTCTGAATAATGTTATAGGGAGCTGAGTAGTAAATACTGCATTGTTGTACTTGTCTCAAGTTTTGAGGATTGGTAGGCTATGCATGAAATGAATATAATTTCAAGGGTAAACATTTTCCCTTTGATGCTGCAGGATACATACTTCACATTTTGACTGTAGCTTTCTGTTCCAGTTGCTAAACAAGCATACTATGCCACTGTCAATGCTTGGGTGCTTTTAATACAGATATTAGAAGTGAGCATAGCAAGTGCTAGAGATTAAATATCAAAGAACAAAATAATCTGAGAATTTGTGATAACATAACAGTAACTGATTGCAGCCGTTAATGCAATTTGTGGGTCACTGAAAAATGACGATAACCCTGGGAGAAGATGGTTTGTTTATGACATTTAGAGCAAAAACGTCCTGTTGTGTTTGGAAGAAAGAGGTATAACTGTGATGACTTTGCTGCAATGTTCAGTACATCATCCTTTATCTCTTGATAACTGGAACATAGCGGTAGAAGGGGTAGAGCCTGAGGTGCCTGATGAGCTTGATGAAGTGGACTTGTCCATGAAAGCTTTCCTGTGTGTGTATATATATATATCTAACTTTATACCCAACCTGGATTTTCTGTAGGTTCAAGCAAAAAATCTTAAAGGAAGAATGGTGATGGGTGTGGCTGCAGGCAGGTTCCATACAGTGCTATGGACCAAAGAAGCAGTATATACAATAGGATTGAATGGTGGACAGTTAGGTAAGAGAGGGAATCTTATGTTTGAGGAGAGGGGGAATTAATGTGCCCATTCCTTTTAGGCTCAGCTTATCATCTATTTGCTGTTTACTAGTAATGTGCAGATATTTGAAAATATTTAATTAGTGCTGTCAAAGATTTAGACATTGAAAAAGAACCAGGTAAAGTTCTCTTTGTCTTGTTAACAACTTCTGTATTACTTATTTTGTTGTTATTGCTATCTACTCCCTCTTGTTTCCTCTGTCTCCACCATTACCATACAGATCCTTCTCCAAGTGAACATAAACAGAAGGCGAGGTCTAAATTGGTTTTAACAAAAGTGACTGAAGTAGAATAATCCCAGTGCCTGCACATTTATTTGTTTGTTTGTTTGTTCATTTTATTTATTTATTTATTTATTTATTTACATACATACATACATACATACATACATACATACATACTGGCCCATTAGTGCCGAAGCACTATTCTGAGTAGTTTACAAGCTGTTAAAACAAACTATACAGAGAGAAGGGGAAAAAATTCCTAAATACAACATAGATACAAAAACATAGTCTAGAAATTTAATAAACAATGGTGCAAACCAGTTTTCAGAGTGAAGCAGTGCTGGAGGCGAGGCATTCAACAAGGGTCAACATGGAAGCCCTTACTCCAGTGTGGAGCTCCATGGTCTGAGTAGACAGAATACTTGAATTCATGTGCCTTTAGTTTGTAGAATGTCTGAAATCTTGACTAGAGGACGCAGGCTGGCAAGGTTATACATCCTACGAAAACTTACATTGGATTAAGATATGATGTCAAGTAATACTCCAGATTGGGATATATTTATTATGCAAATCACAAGTAGTACTTTTGTCTACTTTTATTAAATCATTCTATCAGATGGACCTGAATGATTGATAAGCAGGTCTGTATGAGTATAGATTGATCAACAGGGTTTGGTAATGTTTCCACCATGCAGTATTGCCATTCACAGTGTTTTCCAGCATTGTGTACTTAGCATGTTCTTGCTACAAATGGTATGTATTTGGTAGGGCAGGCCCTGAAATAGTTGTGCTCATCAGAGAAGACAGTACAAATGTATAAACGTTCTGATTCAGCTTTATACACTCGCTTAAATGTTTGAATTGGTTTCTGATCTTCCTGAATGTCTAGTTGTATGAGTTCTTGAACAGACAAGACCTTTTTTGTGGACTTTATGCTAGGAAAATACTTGTGCTCAAATGCCAAATAATTATGGGTCTCAAAAATCTGACATTTAGGATGTTCTCTTGTAGGATACTTGCTAGATCCTAATGGAGAGAAGTGTGTAACTGCTCCTCGCCAAGTCTCTGCTCTGCATCACAAGGACATTACTATGTCATTTGTTACTGCAAGTGATGGTGCCACAGTATGTGTTACTGAGAGAGGAGATATCTATTTGCTCACAGACTATCAGTGCAAGAAAATTGCTTCCAAGTGAGTGCTTTTCTTCAGAGAAATCTATAAACTTAATTTACTCGCTTAAAAAATTATAGCCAATTAATTTATTAAGATTATGTTGCTTGTGTGTGAATATATCCTTCTGTCGTTGATCAGATTGTACACTGCATGAACAATGTAGAAGGTTGAAAGTGGGTAGACTCATAAATTGTGTCTTGAAGTCTTAGATTCTTTAAGATTAATGACCATGCCAAAGTAACATGTTCAGTCTTTAAGGAGCTACAGTTCCTGTTATTGTGTAGTTCCTAAATTCATCACCTTGGTAATCCAGCAGCTCACTCAGTAAAGGTAAATTGATAGTAATATGATCATATTACTGCAGGTGAGAAGCTGAGAGGATTGTGGTTTTGCTAAGACTACCTGCTAAGGTCATGGCAATGAGAAAAATATGAGTTAGAAAATGCCCATCTTGTTTTTCAAATGGCTGTGGCATGGTTGGGATTAGGGTCTTTCCTTTATTCTGATGCTGATCATTTAGTCCTGCTTCCCATGTCTAACAGGTCACTGTTAGCCTTCTCATTGCAGAGGTGGAGTTTCTATATCAGCGGGACAGGTCTGATGAAGCTTGTCCTGAGCATTGGAATTTCTATATCAGCGGGACAGCTCTGATGAAGCTTGTCCTGAGCATTGGAAGTTCTTGTGTCTTGGCTAGCTTTGCAGTAGTTGCCTGTTTTATTTTCTATGTGACTGTAAAGTTACCATTTTCCTTTTATGTGCATGTGTTGACCAAGTTCATTTTGTGTTTTCATCATTTAGACAACTAAACCTAAAAAAGGTTCTCGTTACTGGAGGGTATTTAGACCACAGAGTTGATCCTCAACACCTTAAAGAAAGTGGAGGCCAGAGAATTTGTATTCTTGCACTGGATCAAGCTGGGAGAGTAAGTCTGCCCTTTATTATAAACTCTGTAATTGTGCAATGTAACTATTGTGTCCTAGCCCAGTGGTCTCCAACCTTGGGCCTCCAGATGTTCTTGGACTTCAACTCCCAGAAATCCTGGCCAGCAGAAGTGGCAGTGAAGGCTTCTGGGAGTTGTAGTCCAAGAACATCCGGAGGCCCAAGGTTGGGGACCACTGTCGTTGTGTCCTAGCCTACTTGTGGCATTGATTACTGAAAGCAGATCTTATAATAATGGCTGAAATTTGGTGGCAAGTCATACCTAGAGGAGGCCCATTGACTTAGTGGAACTCAAAGAGGAGTTGACTCCTCCTCAGATCCCCACTCATTCAGTTGGCCAAGCCGAGCTGTGACGTATGACTGGATTTTAGCCAATGATGGAAGTCTCCTCTGACTTTAAGTACATACTTGTGAGGAAAGGAAAGAATGACTGACACGAATAGCATTTTATGTGTGTACGTAATGCTGTACAACCTTATGGATGCTAGAGATGAAGCTCCTAAAATGATAGTGCAAAATGTTTCTGGAAAGGGGAGGTCTGTTGAGAGACAGCAGTTACTGTTCCAAAATTCTGATCTTCACTAGCTTTTAAAGGTTGGTGGCTGTCAGTATTTCAGTTCTCATGCCTGAGTACAGCATATCTTAGTCCAACAGTAACATTTTTCTTGCAGAAAGCACATAAAAGTAGACCTGCAGTGTAGGGAGGCTGGGCCTCTGTCACCCGCACAGTTTTAAGTACTGGACAGAGTGTTCGCTCAATAGTTACAATGCGAGTAAGTTTGACTTTCACAGAGGTTGCTCAAGGAAGTGTCCAACACTACTTTCAGAAGTGTGAGTCAGTTCTGTGTAAGGGAGTTCCCCTTATGGGAGGACAACATTTGTACAAACAGGACATCCCACGTGGAGCCAAATGCTCTAATAGAGCGAGACAAGACTGCAGTAACCATTGTCCCTGCATTTCAACTATTTACCGCCACGTACAGTCATTTAATTTTTTAAAGACAAAAAGTGATCAAACCAAATCAAGCTTGCTTATTTAGACATAATGATTAGCATCATACATAATTTTGGCCCATAAGAGTTAAGTCTCTGTCTCTGAGCAAAAGTGTTTTAACCATTAAATCATTTTAAAAGCATAAAGCCTTCCAGCAAATGGAACAACTGGCTTGGACGTCCTAGGCTGGACTAGAGAAATCATTTAATGAATGCAAAGTGCTGGTGCAGGATAGAAAATGCGACTGTAATAGACCTGTGCAAATCTCTCATTCTCTCTTCTTCCCTTTTGCGACACCAACATTCTAGGTCTTTTGCTGGAAATCTGCCAACAATCCTATGAAGCAGTGCCGGTGGGTCTACGGCCGCCAAGTCTACATGTCTGATATTTCTTTAAATAAGAATGACTTGATGTTTGTTACACAAGATGGTGAAGCTTTCAAAGGAAAATGGATGGATGGGAACAAAAATTCAGATAAGAAAGGTTTGCTAACTTGACTTCTAGTATATTCACGATATTATACTATGCAGCATAGAAACAGCAACAATAGATAAATGAAGTTCGGTAGAATGAATGATTGAGTAAGAACATGCACCTGGGCAGTTCTGGGCCACTTTGTGTAAATACAGACATAAACACACAGTTAATTCATATTTTTTTTGGATTAAGATGTAAACATTAAAGAGAAAAGTTATATAACAATGTGAGTGACGCTGGCCAAGTATATCCAGTTAGATTACTTTCTCATAAGGCAGCGGTGGGTAGTTTTTGGTTGACTCAGCAGACAGACACATAAAAGGGAATGGACAGCTTAATCAGCTTCTCTTTCCTTCTCAGATGTCATACATGCATATATTCACGTGTATGTATGTGTAATACGTTTTTAATTTTATATTTTCTTGTATTAGAAATTTCTTAACACAAGCTCTTTGAAACTTAAGTCATTAATATGAAAGATTAATTTGATTTCATAAAAGATTATTTTATCAGTTCCCCCCAAATTTATTGAGACTTAATTAATTGGTGGTGCTGTGGGCTAAACCGCAGAAGCCTGTGCTGCAGGGTCAGAAGACCAAGCAGTCGTAAGATCGAATCCACGCAACGGAATGAGCACCCGTCGCCTGTCCCAGCTCCCGCCAACCTAGCGGTTCGAAAGCATGCAAATGCGAGTAGATAAATAGGTACCACTTTTGAGACTTAATTAAAGACACTCAAGCAATACGTGTCCCAGGAATGCTTTGTTTATTAAACTTAGAGATTTTAAAATGTTTTAAAACTGTATTTAATATTGGCTTTAATCTTGATATCTTTTTAATTTTTTAAAATATGGTTTTTATACGTTGTTTAAAAACTGTTCATTGTTGTATAATTTTAGTTGTTGTGAGATGCCTTGAGTCCCCTGTGGGGAGAGATTAGAAATTTCTTAACACAAGCTCTTTGAAACTTAAGTCATTAATATGAAAGATTAATTTGATTTCATAAAAGATTATTTTATCAGTTCCCCCCAAATCTTTTGAGACTTAATTAAAGACACTCAAGCAATACGTGTCCCAGGAATGCTTTGTTTATTAAACTTAGAGATTTTAAAATGTTTTAAAACTGTATTTAATATTGGCTTTAATCTTGATATCTTTTTAATTTTTTAAAATATGGTTTTTATACGTTGTTTAAAAACTGTTCATTGTTGTATAATTTTAGTTGTTGTGAGATGCCTTGAGTCCCCTGTGGGGAGAGGGGTAACATATGAGTAATATAAATAAATAAGATTATATTTAATGAATGACAGAATAAAGTTAGATCACCTTTGAGAACCAGACAGTTTAAATTTGATTTGAAAAAACGTGCAGGAGCTGTTTAAATAACGTTTACTTGCCAAACTGTTTTAACAAAAAGAAACCTGGAGAAAAGTCTGGTCATTAACAGTAATTAAATGTTTTCTCTTTTATTAAACACTGGGAACAATTTACAGTTTGCAATAATCTGAAACTGATTTGTTAAATACATAACATAACATAGTGGGGGGCACCGAGGATATGGGAGGACTCTGAGGGCTTGGTGGGGCACACTTTCTCTGCCCACATCATAAGACAAAGTTGCAGAAGCCTGCTGTATTTGCCCATAGTGACCATTCCCACAGCCTCTTCATAGAGATTAGTCAATGAATATTTTGGTGTTCATGTGTACCCATCGTCACAATCTTATGGGTTAGTTACATCAGAATAAGTGCAATGGTGTACAATTGGTTCAATTAATACTACTGCTAATAGTAATGGAAAAAAACAATAATAATAGAAATAAAATAAAGTACGTTCTTCAGTCTAGCAGTAGTGCTTGCTAGTGGCATCATTAGACAGGAAAGGCATGTGGAAATGTAAGTTTGCAGCGTGTGGCAAAATGAGAGTGTATATTGCATAAAATGGGCAATTTAAATATATTCTCTTGTGTCTTCTTTCCACATGGCTTAGGTTGTTTGACAGGTCAAGATAGTTCTTCAGCAGCCTTACTTATGTAATCTGTTTTAACATATATTCCAAGGGGTCATTTCTGAGATTTTCTTTGTTTTATTCCTTTTTGAATCCATACCTCTACCTCTCTAGAGGTATTTCTTAAAAATATGTTTTCTTTGTGGAGCTTTTTCTTTTCTACCATTCTAGAAGAACTGGGCTACAAACTTGTCCTTTGTGGGGAAAAGTACCACTTCTACGTAGAATAGAATGTATTTGACTAGCTGGTGCCATCTAGTGTATTGCAGTAGTATGTAAGCCTACATTGAACTGACAGGAAACGGGATATGTGCTGGTCAGTAAATGAAATAATGCCAATAGACGGTAGACCTGACTAGTAAAATGGGGGGAGGGGGAAGGTGCTCCTTGGGCTTATGTGATTAGAGAAATGATTATTTTGCCTGAGGTCAAATGCAAGGTGTCCGACTACAGCCGTGCAAGCATCAGCATTTTAGGGGTTTCAACCAAATGATAGTGTGACCCAAAGTGTTTTCCAAATGTACAGAAAAGAAAAGAAAAGCTCTGTATGTTAATTTGAACCCTTTTAATTCATACGATAGCTTTGTACCAAGTGTTTCAGTGAGCAAAACTTTTTAGGATCTTCCATAGAAAATGTGATTCCATTCTAAAACTGTGAGCAGATTTGGTCCTTATGTAGGTCTGATCATGCATACTGGATAAATAACATTTTCTTAAGTAATAATCGTTTGCTTGATTGGCTTGTCCAGCGCATGCACGCACTGCAGAATGAGTAGTGTTGCTTTATATTTGATATGGCAGTGCTGCATATTGACATGTTGATCTTGATTCAGCATAGTTCTTAGCAGCGCAGGTAAAACTGTTTAGAAAGAACAGTGTGTGTGAACCAGCCCTTGGACTATGCATAATCGAAGCCAACTGAGTTGATGCAGTGAAAGCAGTTACGTTAATTTCAGAAAATGTTCATTGGTTCCATTGCTAATTAGTATAATCTGTTCATATTTAGCAGAGATTGTTTCAAACCTTAAGAATTCATCAAATGATATCTCATCCTATGATACAAACAGTGCATATGAACGAATACAACTTGAGAAGCTGGCTTTTGTTCACAGAGCAGTCAGTGTTACTACAGATCCCAGTGGCTGTAACTTTGCTGTTTTGCAGTCTGATCCAAAAACAAGGTATGCATCGGCCATTTAGGGAAGCAAGTGTATTATGAATATCGCTTGGATAGCCAGAATAGTTATCTTTTGGTACCTTGGTCAAACCCTTCTTTTGCTAACATTTAGTGAGGTTATGATAAAGATGTTTTTGACTGGGGAGGTGCTCAGTCTGGCCTTCTGTGTACTACTTTAAATGAAAGGTGAGACTACAGAATGGCACAGTAGTCCTATTCATGTTAAAAGAAACAGACATACAGTATATCCAGGATCCATTACAGTGGTGCCCCGCATAGCGACGTTAATTCGTTCTAGGATTAACGTCGCTATCCAGAAACATCGCTATGCAGAGGGGAAACCCCATAGGAAGGCATTAAACTCTGTTTAATGCGTTCCTATTGGGGAAAAACTCACAGGTAAGCGAAGATTCCCCCATCCGGCCGCCATTTTCGCTGCCCAGTAAGCGAGGGCAGGGCGCGAAAACGCTGCAGGCAGCTATTTTCTGCACCTGGCGGCCATTTTGGAACCGCCGATCAGCTGTTTTCTAAACATCGCAATGCGAAGATCGGTAAGCGAAACGCTTACCGATCATCGCAATGCGATGTTTAGCCTGTCTAAACATTGCAATGCGATTGCATTAGCGATAGCAAAAAACGCGTTGCTATGCGGATTCGTCGTTAAACGGTGTGCTCGTTAAGCGAGGCACCACTGTACTGTGTGCTTATGTGAAAAACAGCTTACTTCATCAGTTGCATAACTATTCTGGGCAAGCTTCTAAGAGCAGCGCGGATCAGCTGTAAGGCGGGGAGGGGGAGGGGCTGGAGTGGAGACGATGGCTCCTTTTCTGGGACTATCGCTTCCCCCCATCGCAAACACCCCGTTTTCGCACAGCTGATGGGGGGCCTTTGCTAAGATCCCTGGCCCCGCCAATCAGCTGTGCAAAAATGGGGGGTTTGCGATGATGGGGGGAAGCCATCATCACAAAGCAATTTTCCCCTATGGGGAACATTGCAATGCGATTGCTTTTGCGATCGCAAAATCCACATCGCTATGCGGATTAGTCGTTAAACGGGGCACCCGTTAAGCGAGGCACCACTACATAACTGCAAAGGGTGAAGGTGTATTCCTTCAAAGGTTTCTTATTTTTAAGTTTTTGGAGAAAGGGAGAAATGCTACCTAGCAATTGTTTTTTCCTACATTAAACATTCAAGTTTTATAGAGTGACATGAAAATCAATGCAAACTTTTTGAATTAAAATTTATATAACTCTCTCTTTCAGCTTATATGAAATTCCAAGTGTTTCAGTGTCTAGCTTTCCTGAGGATTTTGGCAAATTGTTGGCAGAGGCAGAAGTGATGGATACCATCCATGATGTGACTTTTCGGGTTGGCACCCGGGTTTTCCCTGCACACAAGTATATTTTGGCAATGCGCTCTGATTTTTTCCGGAAGCTCTTCATGTCAGATCACAGTTGGTTGGATCCTGCGGACATTTACCTTAAAGAGGAGGATGATGCTGGTTGCGATCTCTTTGTGATTGAAAAACTTCATCCAGATTTATTTATGTACCTTCTGCAGTACATGTACACAGATTCCTGTGATCTTCTAATTCAAGGTCAGAAGCCCAAAATGGTGTGCAAAGGGAAGATAGAAGAGAATGAAGATACCTTAATTACAAACTTGAATAAAATGGCTCTTCATGGGGATGTGAATAAGAAGTCCGCATTTGAGGTTTACAGAAGTAATCAAATGCACATGGAAAATGAGAAACAAAAAAGTAAAGCAAAATCCACTTACAAGAAATGCAAGGGTGCTGGAGAAGATGGGAACCTTGTCAAAATGTTACAAGTTGCTGCCAAGAAATTTGGACTTGGCAGTTTAAGTTCAAGGTATGCAAGTGATCATAACTACTTTTTTTTTTCCTATCAGCTTTAATCCTCCGGTTGACCCTTGTGTGGAATTGCTTGAGGGGAGGACTTTTGCAGAAATGTGGCTTAGTAGTTCCTGAAGCGGTTACTGCAGACTTGCATTGGCAGGAAGTCTTTTACGGTTGGGAGAGGCAAAACAGTTTGTCCCTGCTTTAATCACCCTAGCTGAGCCTGTTTCTAAAATTTGCTTCAGAAATACAACCAACAGGCACAATCCTGTTGGTGATTTATAAGTGCATAAATCGAGCTCATGCTGACAGAGTGCTGGAAATGTTACGTACGTGCCCGGTTGTGCAGCAGAGCACACCTGGGAAATGCAACTGGTGCCTCATTAGTTAGTGGTGATTTGCTGTGGGTGAGTAATGCAGTGCAACGCACACATGTGTAAATCACCAACAGAATTCTGAGCATTATTTTGCGTGGTTTGCTTGCTCTGTAAAGAATTGCTGCCGTTGAATTCAAAGGCATTTAGTACAGTGGGGTCTTGACTTGAAAAATTAATCCGTATTGGCAGGCGGTTCTCAAGTCAAAAAGTTCTCAGGTCAAATCTGCATTTCCCATAGGAATGCCATTTGATCCGTATCTGCTCTTTTCCGTCCATAGAAACTAATGGGAAGCTGCTATTCTGCCTTTGACCACTAGAGGGGGATATTTTGTTTCTTTTTTTCTTAGGTCCAGAAAGGTTCAGGGAAGGCAGGGAAAATACAGTCCAGGCAGGACAGTACCAGGCAGTCTGAAGACTGTCTCCCAATCCACTCTCTAAACGCTGGGAGGAGTGAGGAAGCAGACAGGCACCCTTTTCACTGGCCAACAGTTAACTGAAAGTTCACATTTTGCACTTTCCCTGCCTCCCACGTGGTTTTTTTCAGTTCTTAACTCAAATCTAAGTATGTAAGTCAAGTCAATATTTTCCTATGAGAGTGGTTCTTAAGTCAAAATGTTCTTAACTCAAGCCGTTCTTAAGCCAAGACCCCACTGTATTTAATTCCAAACTAACTATAGTATGACCCCCATATCTGCTGAGGATTGGTTCCAATGGATACTGAAAACTCTGGATAATAGTGAAAGCTATATTTATATAAATTATTTTGATATGCACTACAAGAACTGGGATCATGCTTTGTATCCTTCACTAGCAAGTATTCATAGAGCAGTCTTTGATTCCCTTTAGTGGCTGGTTCTGGTAATGCATGTGAAAATAGTTTTTTCTGGATATTTTTCTTTTAATATTTTTAATATTTTCCGACTGAATAAGTGAATCAGTAGATACTGATCCTGTGGATAAGGGGTCCTACTGTATATCCTAGTGAATGAACTGTGGCCCTTTTTTTAACCAGTGTTGGGAGGCCAGTAGAGTGTACTGAAGTAATTAAGTAGTGCCAGACACTTTACATAACCTGTCGCTCCTCAAGGCTTTCTTGTCAACTATTCATTGTTACCATTGTATTTTTTTTTTTAATAGACTGAAGTGAGATACCCAGTGTGGTGTCGTGGGTAAGAGTGATGGACTAGAGTTCTGGAGTTATCGACTGAAGTTGTAAAGATGATGATGATGATTTTACTATGCGTGTGTTAATTGTTTGGTTGCTTTGCAGGCTAGATGGAGTGAGAATAGAAAATGGAAGAATTAACGTTGTCAACAAAAAAAGTGGGAACAAACCAAAGCTAAACCAGAAAAAATGGTGAGTTTTAAAAGACCAGGGTGGCAATTGCAAGGTCCAATGAACAGAAGGTTAGTTACTTAGTAACTGGTGAGCTAGTACAAAAGCAGCAGCATCAGGACCACTTGCCTCTTCTTGTTTCTCTTTTGTCAGAGAGAACTTATTGATACGTGGCATCTTTCTGAACCTTTCTGTATCTAGTGAGTTGTGTTCAAAATTGTGTTTTCAGTTTTTATGTCTGTCTCTCTCCACCCCCATAAACACACCATATCTAATCCAAAGCATATATTTGAAAATTATGCACTTTCTGATTTTAAAAAACCCTGATTGACAGCTCTGAGCAGGAATTTAGGTCCAGAAACCAGCAAATTTCTATTCTGCGGTCTGTTGCCTGTTATCTTGCTCTGCTTTACAATACGACTATTGCCCTTTCACTCCCTGTTGTCTGTCTTCGTGTTTTTCTTGATCACATTGTTAATTGTTTGGGTAGCCGCTTTATTCTAGCTCCCATATTTGTGGTGTCCATTTGCCCTTAATATTCAAGTGCAGAATAGTCACAGGTAGATATAACCCCCCCCCCCCCAAATTGTACCCTGTCAGTAAACTTTTTTATTTCAGCTCCAGTTTGGATTATTTTAAAATAATGGTAATGAACTGTGTTCTGGTTCGCAGAAGGATATTTCTAATTTTCTTTGAGGTAACATGCATATGGTTAAGCTTTCATGTTAGATGCAATGAGAAACAAATCTCTGAATCTGATTAACCAGTTTGTGCTTATCCGGCAGTCTTTTCAAAATAGGTATTTTTCCCCCTTTTTTAGTTCGTACCTCTGTGATGTGACCATGAAGTCTCTAGATGGAAAGGAGCTCCCCTGCCACAAGTGTGTACTGTGTGCAAGACTTGGTGGGTGTACTGTAAGATTTTTTTGGCTTTTTCTATTCATAGCTACATCTTGGTTTAATGCATGTCAAAATGAAGTTTCTCTCCCTTTCAGACTACTTTCACAGCATGCTGAGCAGTTCCTGGATTGAGGTAAGCTTGCCAATGCCACTTGTGGACATATGGCCCCTTGATCATTTGTGCAGAAATACTTACTTGAGAATTGTGTGGGGAAGGAAACTACTCACAAAACATTATTTGGCAATGGCTCACAAAACAGAAAGCTGTTTTAAGACAATAAAAGCCGTCCATCAGAAAATCAAAGTTTGATTTCTGCACACTAGCTTATGTTGTTGGACATAAGGAACCTCTGCAGTAGTTCTGTTTTAGTGTGCTGTAGAACATTACCTGTTCTGAGCTGATGATAGGATTTTGATAGGAAGTATTTTTTTAATGGCTACGCAGAGGTTGTAGCTAAGTAGCCAAATTGCATGAACCCTTGGCATCTTTAGGTTGGCCTAGCCTTACTCATTCAAAGTTAGAGGAGATCTTGGAGTGGGATTGCTAGTCAGAGTAGACCAAGGATGGGTGAAGTATGGCCTGTGGCCTGCATGCACCCTTTCAGGGGACACAGGTTTGTCTACCTGCCCTTTGAACAGCAACAGAAAAAGTTCTAGGAATTGCAGTTCACAGCACTAAGAGGGCTTTTTAAGAAATCACATGGCCTTTTAAAGAAGCCAAAAGTCAGCTGGAGGTTATATTTAAAGGGCAGTTTGTGTTGCCCAAACTGCTAGGGAGCATGGCTTGCAATTTTGGAATATAACAGGAAAGAGGAGAAGTGTAGGGCAATGTGTAGAGGACAGGAAGTGCCCTCTGGAACACAATGCCTTTGGCTCTATGGAAAAATGATTTGATTTGGTGGAAGACAGCTTTAGGTTTTCAAGCAGGAAAATGGTCCAAGTTCTTGGAGTGAGCCTTTGTAAATAACTCAGAGATAATAGTCTTCATAATACTGGCATGACTACAGACTGAATTGTAATCTGGAAGTTTTTGCCTTTCTTATAAAATAGAAATAGGCATAAATGCCTCAGAAGTAATTTAGCAATCATTTATTCTAACTTATTTTTAATGATATATTTTTTTTAAAGTGTTAATTCCCTGGTTGCTTTGTGAAGTATCACAGTGTCTTTAATTGTAAGATCCAAGCAACCAATGACAAGTTCAGCTTTCCTGATGGGACTTTGGGCTTGTCTGTTTTAAATAACAGTCCTTCTACAGTCTACACAGTCCCTTGGTAATATGTTGGCCACCCATTTTTATGGAAGACCCTTTATGATAAGGCACAGGGTCTCCTATTCAAAGATTCAAAAACAAAAATTCTGTTCGAGGACTTGAGTGCATCTAAAGTTGCTTTTTGAATCTCAGCAATATGCAAAACAACCGTATTTTATTACTGAAGTATAGCTGTGATAGTACTGAGTAGTGATAGTACAACTGATACATTGCATTGTGGGCAACCGGTATTACAAGTACCTGCACACAGTGCTTTCATATCATCACAACATTCCTTGGTGCAGATACTTATGTGTTATGCTTTCAAAGTATCTAAACAAATACTTAGGCAAGGCAGGTAGCAACAACTTCAGTAATTATATTGTTGGTTAAAAATAAATAGTAAAACCAGTAAAATAGTTCCTGTGAAGCGTACATATTAGGGGTTGGTCTCTTCTTCAATCAACTTTTTCAGTAGCTTGTCAATGAAATGTCACAGTATGTTTTGCTAGAGATCATGCTACTCTGATCCTTCTGAATGAGAGAGAGCAGTCCTTTTGAGGGTGAGGGCGGGGGCATGCTGCTGTCTTCTTACATACTAGTTGAAGAGTCTTTGTTTGAATGACCTCCCAGGCCTGCCTTCTTCCAGAAAGCCCCACCTAGAAGTGGATAATTCTGTCAAGTAGCTTCATTGAGTGTGACTGAGTCACTGCCTTTCTGGGCTTCCTGTTGCTTCACCTTCCAAACAAAAGGCAAAACTTTGGGGTATCAGAAGTTTGGAAAACACTGCATCAGAAGTGACCTTTTAGTAAAGCATTTTCTGTCCAGAACTATGGAACTTCTCAATCTCTTGACTTTCTGAAAGGACACCAAAACAATTAATCCAGCATATGGATTAATTGAATTACTTGGAAAAATTAGCTATTTATGGGCGATTATTACTTTAGGGTTGTTTATTGTCTGATAGTGGTAGTGCCATATGCTTGGAAGAGGAAGAATTTTCTGAAAGTTCACAGGGACATTCTCCTGGCTTTATTTGTTTATTTTTTAAAATCTTGCTTCCATTTAGGCATCACGTTGTGCAGCTCTAGAAATGCCATTCCCCTCTGATATCCTGCAGGTCATCTTGGATTATATTTATACAGATGAGGCAATTACAATAAAAGGTGAGGTCATTAACATCTTTGGCAAGCTTAGCATAGGAGTAAATAGTGTTCTTGAAAGTCAGGTGTGTTTTGAGAAAAGCTTTGTTGAAGGGGACTTGAGACAAGGTAGGATGGAGGAAAACAAGCAACATATCTAGTAAAGGACCGCCTTAATGCATTAAAACACATACCTGAGACAATGGCATATAATTCCCCTGCCAATGGGAGTAGGGTTGCTAAAAATACAGAGTAAATTTAAGAGAGAGATATACCGTATTTTTCCGTGTATAAGACTATACTTTTGTCTAAAATCTTTAGACTGAAAATTGAGGGTCGTCTTATTCACGGAAGTAAGCTGAGGAAAGATTCAAAAGAAATGGAGGGGAAAGCAGGGATCAAAATGATCCTGCAGGGCTTTGATCTCTGCTTTCCCTTCCACTTGCTAAGCCCCACTTAGATTTCCTAATTTTGGGTTAGAAAAGGGGGCGTCTTATACACGGAAAAATACGGTATATGTCATTTAGCCTAACTGTTTAAGTTATTTAAATCATTTGAGTAATTTTATGAACAGCTGAGGAGCAGGAAAGACAAACTTAAGTATGCTACTTTAAAGAGTAATCGGAACATTCCACGCTAGGTTCATACCATTTAGCTTTGAGCAGATTGGAATGTACTGTGTATGTTAGACTCTGATATTGGTTCATCCAGATGAAGGGTAAATAAAACAAACTGGATAAATGTATTGTGTATGTTTGACTGTGATATTGGTTCATCTAGCAGATGAAGGGTAAATAAAACAAACTGGATAAAAGATAAAATTTCCTATAATTTTCAGAGTCACAAAATGTGGAGTTTATCTGCAATGTTCTCGTGGTAGCTGACCAGCTCCTTATGTTGAGACTGAAAGAAATCTGCGAAGTAGCCATTACAGAAAAGCGTGAGTTATATACTTCTTTAGAATGTTATTATAATGCTACCTGATTGAGTTATATCAGGTAACCATTCACATGAATGTAAAGACATGCCACTCATGTCATTTGTTACACATTAGCCAAAATCCTATTGGCAATTTACACTTGCATAGGTGAAATAAAATGAGTTGCACCAGCATATTGTCACTAATTAATGAGGTGGTGGTTGTACTCCTGAGCCTGGTCGTAAATGGCCACTAGAAGCCTGGCTTTTATGGCACTGTGCCTATTTTTGAAAGGAAATAAATTGAACCAGTGGGTTTCAGAATGTGCTCTGGGGAGTTCTGGCAGGGCTTCCCCAGTTGTTGCAGGATCCATCACTGAAGTGCTGCTGTCAGAACAGCAGAGGCCAGCACAAGAAGAATGGGGCAGTTTATCCGTTCCCCTTGCGTCTCCAGAATCTTTTCCAGGTGGCTGGGAAATCTTCCAAGTCAGTTTTCAGGTAGCTGAAAACTGGGGGATAGGGGGAGCACCCCAATGGATTTAGGCCAGAGAAGATGATGGTTTACTAGACAGACTAAAAGAAATTGTCCATCTTATGTTGCATTGTGCAACTTTTAATTGCACAGAAGAATAGTTGGGGGGAGTTTGTGCAGATCAAAAGGTCTTGGCAGTGCCCAACATTGTGTCAGTACATGGCCCCTAGAAAATGCCCCGGAATGTCGTGTCACGCGCTGGAGTTTGGAAGCAGAAATTTCTTTGTATAATTATGGTATTTAGTGAAATGGATTTTTAAAATGGTCATTTTCCTTTCCTGTTAATTGCCCATGTTTTCTGGATAAGTTACATGCCTTTTTGTCTAATTTCAGTTACGCTAAAGAATGCTGCTGAGCTTCTGGAGTTTGCAGCCATGTATAACGCAGAACAGTTGAAACAGTCTTGCTTGCAGTTCATAGTACTAAACATGGCTGCTATACTCGAAACAAGGTAACAGCAGACCATAATGCTGTGTATTGATTTTCTTTGTTCATGATCCACAGAGGTCCTAGAAATAGTATTTACTAATGCGCTGAAATATTACATGTCCTCCATAAGAGCAGTCCTCACAGCGGACTCCCACATGGGAAGCTTCATAAGCAATTTGAAAAGTGCCATATGGATACTTCCACATGAAACTACCTGTGTGTTGTTTTCCCCCAAGTTTCTCTTTTTTAGAAAGTGCTTGTATCAGATTCCTAACTACATTTTTAAAATGGGGGCAGTGACTTTGGAGAGTCTATAAAGGCAACCATGTCTGCCCTCCTCATAGTATAGACATTGCTAAGCTTTAGTTCTTAAAGCGGTGCCCTCATAGCTGCCTACACAGGTGGTGTGGCAGACCAGGGTATGGTGGCAGCTCCAGCAGCAGCCAGAACGCTGCTGAACTGTTCAGTCATCGGCAGCCTTCTCCAGAGCCTCCAGCTCTGCCTCCATGCCCCTGCCAGTCAGGAAGGAGCTGCAGCTGGCTGAAAAGGGAGCCAGTCACATAAGAAGATGATTGGATGCCTCATATCATGAGCTCCAAAGAAGCGAAACTGCCTCCTAGTGTTTCCTCACATCATCCTCAAGTTGCATGTTCTCTACACTCCAGATTTCGTTCTGCTGTCCTACCCTCTCTCATTTTTACATCCCATATCTCTTTCTCATGCTTTTAAAAGATGTTTCCTATGGCTGCTTGTGCCTTTTTGCCTATGTTCCTTGAAAAGACTGCTTCCAGTGTTAGTCTGCCCTGTGGTAGACTGGTTGAAATTAAAAGCACTTAAATTCATGGAGGCTTACTCCACGAAGACTACAATTCAGTGTAGCCTTGTACCGAAAGAATCTGCTCTGTCAAGCTATCTGTTTATTGTTCTTCAGATCCTCCTATAAAGAATACATTTGCAAAACCTACCTGTATCACCACTCATAGCTTATTGCCTGGTTACTCTCTGATTCGGGGCAACATGAATTGGAGAGCTGTTGTAGTCCTACTGTTTCCATACACATGGATCCATATCACTCATGAAGAAGATAATCATGCAAGCTTTTTGGAATTGGTGCTAAACCAATATATGTTTCATGTTTCTTGCTAGTACATTTATAGATCTAAGGTGTGCAGTAATGTTGTTTGTAGCCTTCCCTTTAGAATCATATTCTGTCAGTTCATCATAAAGACATCCCATTTGTTTTGAATGTTAAAATGTCATACAGTGTTCAATTTCATTGAATTCCCCCCCTCTCTGCTCTTGGGCACAGCTGGATAGAAGTGCTACCACTGACAAGGAATGAATGAGAGATTAGGCCAATATGAGCAGTGTTGATAGTACCAAAATAGGATGTCACAATCAATGTGTATACTGGAAACAAGTTAAGCACTAACATTCATGTATTCCCAAATTGAGCACTACAGGTCTTCATTCAGAATGTGCACATTTGAGGACCTGCAGGGAAAAATTGTAGCAATAATCATAACAAAAAACATGCACACAGTGTATGTGCAGTAGTAAAAATAACACTCAGAAAAATAGGTTGGGAAAGCACATGTATATAGAAAATACAGTGGGGTCTCAACTTACGAACTTAATCCGTATTGGAAGGCAGTTCTCAGGTCGAAAAGTTCTTAAGTCGAATCTGCATTTCCCATAGGAATGCATTGAAAACCATTTAATCCGTATCTGCTCTTTTCGTCCATAGAAACTAATGGGAAGCTGCTATTCCGCCTTCTGCCACTAGAGGGGGATATTTTTTCTTTTTTTCCTTTTAACCTAAGATGACTTAGCTTTAAAAAAACTTGGGAAAGCACATGTATATAGAAAATGTGCAAATAAAACTTTATGAAAATGTACAAAAATCTGCACAGAATTCTATGCAGAAATATAGACAAAATCCATAAACTGATATGGAATTGTACTACTGAGACCAAATATAGCTTTGTGAAAATGTACAAAAATCTGCACAGAATTCTATGCAGAAATATAGACAAAATCCATAAACTGATATGGAATTGTACTACTGAGACTATTGAAAATATGAACAACCAAATGGAACCAGAGTTAATAGACGTAGACCTGTGTGCCTTTGTCACTGGGCTGCAGTTGAATTGTCTTTTAATGTTTATTTGTCTTAGGGTTCTGGATGTTTTACGTGATGATGTCCTCAAGGAGCTTTCTGTTTCTTACAGGAAAATGGTAAGTTCTACCACTAATTAGTTTTTAAAAGGCAATATTTAAAAACCACTTGAATGTAATTATAATTTTTTTGCATACCTATTTGGATTCAGCCTGTTTCATTCAATAGCTATCCTTTGATTTGTCATCTTTAGATTTTCATAGAAACTGCTGGGTCGCCCCCCCCCCAATCAAGCAAAACTAGTATCTGTCTCATAATTTAACTGGTATTGCAGAAAATGTCTTGCAGAATAATTCTAGTAAAGTTGCAGGTGCCTGGTGAACCTTTACAGAGTATGTAGTTTTAAAACCAACCTTTTATGCCTTACAAAAACAGTTCTTCAGACTCTGGAAAGGCTAAACCTTTAGATGAGGTGTGCTTTTTTTGAAAATAATCTACTCAATGATGAAACTGATTTTTTTTTAATTTGGTGATTTTGTATCAACCATGGGGAATCTCTTTCAGCCTGAGGATTGAATTCCGTTTCAGAATTCTCTGGGGCCTCATTCTAATAGTGGAAAAGACTGCAGCTGAAACAGTGAGACCCTCCCCCCCCAAAAAAACACCAGCATATTAAACCTTGAAGCGCTTACTGCTAGTAAATAATCCGAAGTAGAAGCATTTTAACTTTTTAGAATATGGGAGAAAGCTGTACAACACTGAGAAGGCACTGAACTGTGGTACCAATGCGAAGGAAGCACAGCTATTTGTGGGAAGCCCACCAAGTTGGATTCAGGTGCCTAGAAGGGTAGACTTGCCTCAGAATCTGATCATCTTTGCCCTTGTCTTCAGACAATAGCCCCTCTCTTTGGATATGGCATTAGAATGTCGCGATCCCAAACATAATCATAATTATATAATTGCAATGATGTAAGTAAAAAAATGAATAAGTTGATCCATCAGATATCTTTGTTAAGCACATATGCATGCAAAAATATGTCCTTAGATCAGCTCTAGATACAGAACTTCTTTGCCACCCCCTTCCATGCCCTACGAATTTTAGGGGCTTTCTGAACTGACAGTGGTAGAGGTCTTAAACATTTGAATTCAGCACCTGCTGCTCTTTCCTAGTGTACAACGTTAAAGGAATTTATGATGTTACAGATTCCTGCTATGGTCAGAAGAGTAATTACTCCATACCAAGGAGGCCCTGATATTAGTTATTTGGAGCCTGAGGAGGGAGAGGAGTTTGTCTTCCTGAAAGAAGAACTAAGTGCAGAGCACTCTTCTCAGTAAGAACACTTTTTCTTGTGATGCAGGTTATCTCGAGGTCTCTTGGCTGGGTGCACTGTTGTTTAGGCTTTCAAAGATTCTAAGTAGCAACTTGAAGCTAGAAAGGAGTGTGACATATCCCAGTAGACCTACTGGGATCTATCACACAGTTACGTTCTAAGTAGCAACCTGAAGCTGGAAAGGAGTAATGAGATTTCTGTGCAGCAAACAAATGAAAGGGGGAGAAAAAGTTCTTTTCGTGCACAATAATCCAGCACTTAGTTACAACTATAGTCCTCTTTTGATTCAGAAAATTAGGGGAAATTCCATACAGTGATGCCTCGCTTAACGATTACCTCGTTAAATGACAAAACTGCTTGACGATGAGGTTTTTGCGCTCGCTTTTGCAATCGCAAAACGATGTTCTAATAGGCAAAATTCACTTCATGATTGGTTCCCTGCTTCGGGAACCGATTTTTCGCTAGATGACGATTTTCAAACAGCTGATCGGTGGCTCTGAAATGGCCTCCTGCTGTGCAAAATGGCTCCCCGCTGGGCTTTAGGACGGGTTCCTTGCTATACAGGCACTGGAAAATGGCTGCCTTATGGAGGATCTTCTCTTTACGATGAGGTATTTAGCCCATTGGAACGCATTGAAGGGTTTTCAGTGCGTTTCAATGGGCTTTTAAAATTTGCTTGACGATGATTTCATTTAACAGCGATTTCGCTGGAACGGATTAACGTCAAGCGAGGCACCACTGTATTTAGAGAATTCTGTTATGAAAGTTTTGTGTTGTCCTTTTGATGGACATTACGAAGCCCCTCCTGAGTTCAGAACTCAATAACAGAAGAGAGGCACCACTGTATTTAGTGAATTCTGTTACGAAAGTTTTGTGTTGTCCTTTTGATGTACATTACGAAGCCCCTCCTGAGTTCAGAACTCAATAACAGAAGATGAATAGAGCATGTCCATTAAATAGGAGTGGGCAACCTTTGGCCATCTAGATGTTGTTGGACTCTGTCAGCCCCACTTATTCTGGCCGGTGACCAGGGATTGCAAAAGTGGGAATCGAACAACCTCCAGAGGGGCAGTGTTAAAATGTAAGATGAAATGTAGAGCTCTGAAGGAATCTTGCCCTGCCGTTGCATAAAAAGAAAAGTTCACATCGAGTATAGTTTACATTTTGAATTACAATTCAAAAATGAACAAAACTTCAATAATATGTGTGTATATTTTTTAAAAACAAGGGAAGCTCTTCTGAAAAAAGCTAAAGCAAAGGCTAAAAAGAAGCCCCGAAGACGATCAGACAGCTCAGGAGGATATAATCTGTCGGATATTATTCAGAGTCCATCTTCTACAGGTTAGTAGCCCATAGTCTTGATTTGTTGATTACTTCTAAGATGATTTACAGATAATCCGTACATACAGAAATCACTAAATGAATTATTGTGCTTGACTCTAAATCACTGTCTGTTCTGTGGTGCCAAAATGAACTATAGAAGGCATGGCTACAGTATAATTGCATTGTGTGAACGTGGCTTGAGTTAGATTGGATATTACCATAGAGGCTGCCTAATGTGATGGGATCTATCATAGGTATCAGAGCCACAAGTATCAGCTACTGTTTTATTCTGTATAAACTGTAGTACATTTATTGTATTGGTTTGCTAAATAGTTGGGGTGAGTTGATCAGTTGATGCTACTACTGGTTTGTTCCCTTTTTGTTCTCAGTTTGACAGCAGACTAGGTAATATGCAACATTTTGCTTAATGCTGTACATAGTGTGCTAAGTGTTCCTAACAGTGGGGTTACCATCATGATGAAGTCTCAATTTCTGATCTCTACCATATGAAAAAGTCAGGTTCTTAGAGGAGGGAACAGGGTAAAGATTCTTAAGGAGTGGGCAAATTTATTTGGAAGCAGAAGCTCCTTCAAGATACAGTGGGCCTTCGACTTACGAACTTAATCCATTCTGGGAGGACGTTCGTACCTCGGAAAGTTCGTAAGTCGACCTACCATTTTCCATTGAAATGCATGGGAACGGAATTAATCCGTTCCAGCATTTAAAAAAAAATAAAAATAAAATACAAAAATAAAAATAAAAAGAGCAAGTCCCA